AAATTGATTGTGTCAAAGGTAAACATGAACGGTGTTCTCAAATGATTAGTGGTAACATCATAAAGATCATGAAAGAGCATTAATTAATTATGCAATAATCTTTTCAATACGAATATTTTTCTTCTTTTATAGTGAAAGAATAATAATTGAAAGAGTTTGGAACTTTTAAAAATTATTTAATTTTAAAATTAAACAAAAGAAATTAAAATTTGTACGTTATTAATTATTATAAAATAATAATCATTATTTATTATAAATTATTATAAAAATAATAATTGTTATTATTTAATATTAATTCATTAATTATTAATTAAAGTTTAACATCGATCTTATGCATATACTTCCATGTTCTGTTTAAAATTATTCATCATTATAATAAATTATCATAAAAGTTATTTGAAATGGATGGGAAAAAAAGTTAAATTTAAAAATTGAATTCCTTAAAAGTAATAAAATAAAACAAAGCAAAAAAAGGAGATGTGAAATATGAAATCTTATGAGAGTTAAAATTTTAGAATATATTATTGAATTTCAATCTTTCAGAAATTTTATTTATTTAAGCTATTTTCCCCCCCTCACCCCCTCTCCCCTTATTTATTACAATTATACTACGATAGCATTTTATTTCAGTTCTCATTTCTCATTTTTTTTAATGATCGATTTTATTAACTATTTGTTGCAAATAATTTAGGTTTAAAAGAAAGGATAATAAAATAATTTTAAAAAATTTATTTTTCTCTTTTGTGATATTATAAAATAAATGAACAAATATCCTACGTGATAAATATTCTACCAGCTAAATATTCTACGCGGTAAATATCCTACCTATTGAATATCCTACGTGGTGAATATCCCACCTAGTAAAAGTCTGATATTATAAAATAAATAAACAAATATCCCACATGGTAAATATTCTACCTAGTAAATATCTACGTGTTAATATTTTACGTGGTGAATATTCAACCTAGCAAATATCGTACGTGATAAATATCCTACCTAGTAAAAGTCTTAAACATCCTACGTGACAAACATCTTAAATCAGAAATAAAAAATTGAATCAAAAAGATATTATTGCATATTTTTCTTTTCATGACCACACGAATAAATTTGTCCGTTTTAATTTTGGTACACGTACGTATACATTTATAATTTATAATTTTCTTCACAATTATCCAATAAAAAAAAAACATTATGTTTTCCTTATTTTCAAATACGAAAAGGAAGACACTTAAATTTAAAAATATTATTTATCATTATTTTATGGAGACGTAAAATATTATCAGTGCATTATCACTTAAAAAAAAGAACGGAAAACGACTAGCAAAAAAATGCGTAAAAAAGACGTCAAACGTTACTTTCATTATTTTCATAAATTCTCAACCTGAAATTCAAACTGAAAACAAGAAGTTACAGAAGGAAATATTATATCAAAATATTTCTTATGAGAAGAAGAAAAAATTTTTTCAAAAAAAGAATTGAAATAAAAATTAAAATTTATCAAAAATAACATATAACAAGTTTCTATTTTATATTCTATATATTTAATAATATTTAATTATACGATATTAGATAAAATATTTCAGAAAGGAAAAAATCGATAATTTCTACTAATAAAAATTTGCATAATTTAATTAGTAAAAATATTAATAAAACAAAAATTATAAAATTTTGAATTAAATAAATTTTAATTTTATTTATACAATTTTTTTTCCACTCAAGTTTGCGTTAGCTTTTTTCCATTAAAAAAATTATGACACCTTTTATTTTGTTCATTAACAAATTATAAAAGACATTATTGGAGAGAGAGAGAGAGAGAGAGAGAGAAAATGATAGATCAGTAATAGGAATTTGTCGTAATTTCGACAAAGTTATTTTTTAAGTTAAAATTTGATTTTAATTTCAATTCATTTCAATTTCATTTTCAATTCATTTAAAGCCTTTAAGAAAAAAGAAAACACTTTTAAAAAAGTAATATTAAACAAAAAATCATTGATTGATTTTTGAGCGGAAAAAATGGATAGATAATATTATGTTAGTAATATTGTGCAAATGAAATCAATTTCTTTTAAGCCATTAAAATTGCAATAAAGAAAAGAGCCAAGAATTAGGCTAATGTAAAAGTTTAAATGAGCCATGATTTATAAGGCTTTTTTGCATAAGGTTGTATAAAAGGGGGGTGGTAAGAAAGAAATGAGGAAATAATAGGCCAGTTTTTTTCAATTGGAAATGAAAAAACGAACGACAGAGAAATCTCATTTAATTCGAGAGAAAAAGAATTGTGGAAAACAAGTTGTGAAAACATCATATCTTCCACAGATAATTTGAAATTTATATTTGAAATAAATAGTTTGGATTTTTTTCAAAATTAAAATCAATTTTAAATAGCATTTAAACAAATATAATTTACATTACAGCTCTCTCTCCCTCTCCCTCTCTCTCTCTCTCTCTCTCTCTCTTCTATTCTAACAAAATAAATTCACAAATATTCCTTTCATTTTTGATAACAAATAAAATAATAAAAAAATTATTGGAAATAAATGTTTAATCGCTCTTTTTGAAATAACGATAAAATCATTGTTAATCATTGTTGTTCATTTTATTGCTTTTTTTTCAAACGTTTATTAAAATATTCCAATTTTAATTTCCGATTTTAATTAATCGATTTCTTTTCCTATTCTTATTTTTATTTATTCTCATATAAATGCAAAAAAATGAGAAAGGGAAAGATAAGGAAAGAAACTGAGGAGAAAGACTTTTTCATTTCGTCCAATTAATATCATCTCCAAACTTTTATAATTAAATAATACTTTAAACTATAATATTTCAAATTAGAATAAAATGAAAAATTTTTACGTAAATTGTTGAAACTTTTAAAATTTCAGTTTTAATATGTAAAATTATTGTTTGGAGGAAGTTCGTATATTTTTACAATTCATTTCAAATAATTCATTAATTTTCTTAATTAACTGATAATATTCATTCACATTTGTTTGATTTTCATAATTAACTGATAATATTCATTCACATTTGTTTGATCTTCATAATTAACTGATAATATTCATTCACATTTGCTCTGAATTAATATTTGATACTTTTAATTTATTTTTTTTTTTTACATTCAAAAAGATCTTACATTCGTTTTAATAACACATTTATGATATTTCAATTCATTTCAAACAGATTTATGGTACTTCAATTCATTGCAAACAGATTTATGGTACTTCAATTCATTGCAAACAGATTTATGGTACTTCAATTCATTGCAAACAGATTTATAGTACTTCAATTCATTGCAATCAGTTAGTTTATCACTTCAGTACATTCCTTTCTTCAATCATTTCTAAGTAATTAATGATAAGGATATCTTTTAACGATTGCAAAATTTGATTAATTTTTATATTTTAATTGAATAAAAATGTTAAGTAATTAAATAAAATTTTATTACTAATAATTATCTCAATGAATATTTCTATTTTTGTTTTAATTTACAATTAAAAAATCTTGTTTTTATTCTGTTTTTATCAAAAGAAAAATTAAAAGTGTTATATCTTTTCAATAATACATTTAATTTTATGGTTAGTAATAATAATAATAAATAATAATAGTAATAACTAATAATAATCATAATAATGATAATATTAATAACTAATAATTATTTTTTGAATAACATAACAAATGAATTTTAGAAAAAAAATAGGTGGATAAAAATAAACAACTTTTTGCTAAAAATAGATAGAATAAAAAAACTGAAAAAAGGTAAAAGAAATTTTTGCTGAAAATAAATTAGGTTGTACAAAGATATTTCAGATGTTTACCGCGTAGGATATCTGAAATGTCAAAATAAGATGAAAAAAAAATTGCTAATTAGCGAGTGATAAATGAGCCTAATTTATATTAATGCTCGTAATAAATTAACAATTTTTAAATCTTTCACTAAATGGATCAATTTTAATATGAAATATTAGTATGATCAATTTTAGTACGAAATATTAGTATGAAATAATTAAATATACTTTCATTCGAATTTTTTCGCTATTTTGTTAATTGAAGAATTTTTACGATTTGAAGATATTATTAATAGAAGAATATAGCAAAAGCTGAATAATATTTTTTGAGATAAATTAGGGATAATTTGAAAGAGAATTAAAAGATATAGCAAAAATGATCAATTAAATCATTTTAATTGAAATTAATCAATCGATAAACAAATTATAGTAACAAAGAAAATATTTTTTTTTAATTTAAACAAATTTAAAATAGAAAATTAAGTTAAGATAAAATATGGATGAAAAATATCTTCGCCATATTTCTTCCGTCTTCCTTTATTTACTTTAATCTGTCTGGAAGAATGGAATTAAAAAAAAAACGAAATAATAGAAAAGAAGATTATTAATGCTCAACAGTTGATTTGCATTTTGTGGTTAATGTTATTCATATATTCATTAAATGAAGATAGTGTGAGCTTTACACTCTATATATAACTTTTTTTAATTCTTTCTATCATTAATACATTGATAGGACAAGAGAATGAAAATGATACAGGTAAAACATTTATGTATAATTACTGATTCAATAAAAATACATTGATAGGACAAGAGAATGAAAATGATACAGGTAAAACATTTATGTATAATTACTGATTCAATAAAAATACATTGATAGGACAAGAGAATGAAAATGATACAGGTAAAACATTTATGTATAATTACTGATTCAATAAAAATACATTGATAGGACAAGAGAATGAAAATGATACAGGTAAAACATTTATGTATAATTACTGATTCAATAAATTGAAAATTTGATCAAAAAAAATTGAATTAATGCTCATATATATCACAAAAAACAATGGAATGAAACAGATTGTAATGAATCATTGATCACAGAAATAATTTAAAACATAAATAGGATACGGTGATTTACAATAAATCATTACTACATTATTTTCATCACATGATAAAAACTTTCAGAATAATCATTGGAGAAGAAACGGAGTTTAGTTATTTGGTTTTCTTGAAACGTCGTCGCGTTTTCGCAGGAATGATCGGCTCAATGGAAGATACATGCGATGAAGCTGAAAAGCTATTCAATATTCAATATTAATTAAATGAATTCAGTAAAAAATTGCATTTCATCAAATTTTCAATGTGCAATAAAGCATATTTTCTGGGAAAAAATAAGGAAAGAAATTTTTTGTCTGAATTTTAAAAAAATAATTGCTTCAAACTATGCCACTGAAGAAACAAAAAAAATAAAATCCAAAACTGTTGCATCACTGAAAATCACCTTCTGCTGTACGAAAAACTGTGTGATAAATTTGTGAACACTTCTCAACGAGTTGCATGAATTGATGATCCTGAAGTTTTTCCTTTAAATATTCCTCCAACCGTGATGAATCGTTCAACAAATCGCTAACCGATAAGCATTTTTCAGTTTGGACACCCTTAAAAAAAAATAAAAATTATCCTAATATTGAACGTTTGAAATCCCACCTTACGATTTGACCTATTTTCTCTCATACACCCAATCTGATCAGCCCAAAGCGGTATGAAAATGTTAATGATAAAAAACTATTGAAGGATTATTACTAATACCATCTGAGGCTTCAAATATATTCAAAATCCACCAGCATATTGATTGCCAAGATCGAACGGGCCAAAATACGAAAATGGATTAAAGGAAGTGTTAAACGATTGACACATGACATGTATTAACCATTTAAGCATTTCCTTTAGTCCATTTTGCGGAGAAAGAAAAAACAGATGGAATATTTTGAATGACATATGTACGTATACCATTCAAACTCTCAAAGCACACCAGTAATCAATTTTGAATGACATGCACATTGAATGTACATATATCATTTAAATTTTAAAATTGAAACTTGAATTTCAATCTGAAATATGAATGAGATGTACAATACACATGTACCATTCAAACAGCAATTACATCAGCCTCGAAACACAAAAGTAATTAGCATCAAAACACAAAAGTAAAAGTACGTCATCTCAAAGTACAATCAATTTTGCTAGATAAAACAAAAAGTCACAACAATTTGATAGCTTTCGATATGTTCACAAAATTCTATTACTGCAAAAGAATAAAATAGTCACCAACCACACTTTGTCTATTTTGTTGCACGTAATTTTTGCTGGATACTGCATTAAAGTGTGCCGCTAGCGGCAAATTTACATTTGGCTGAGTGGCTGCCATTTCCATCTAAAAAAAGATATGATGTGCTTCAGTAACGTGCCATAGAAACTATAGCGTTATGATATCCACTGTTGGAAATGGCTTTTCAAAGAAAGNTGCCGCTAGCGGCAAATTTACATTTGGCTGAGTGGCTGCCATTTCCATCTAAAAAAAGATATGATGTGCTTCAGTAACGTGCCATAGAAACTATAGCGTTATGATATCCACTGTTGGAAATGGCTTTTCAAAGAAAGAGACACCGAATCGGTACTAAGTATCAAAATATTTTAACAATGTTATTAATACGGTCTTCCTAAATTGATGTATAAGGGAATTTTATATATATGTTAAAGAAAAATGCATGTAATTATTTTAAAGTAATTCAAGCAAAGTACTTACATCACTGGTGCTAAAAGGAACTGTTTGATCAGCAGTTTTTGAAGTTTCCAAACAGTTCAACATTCTCTCACCTGAATTCTGAAATGAAAGAGCTATGTGTTTATATCTAAATTTTCCTTCCAAATTCCTCTTCCAACTGAATTTTAAATTTCAAAACCTTAGGACATTAAAATACTTAACATCTTAAAAAAATTTAAGGACTCCCAATTAGAGTTTGAATTTCTAAGATTTCTTTCAATTTCAAATGTAGCAAGTAATTCAATTTACGAACCTGAGAAAAAGATGGTGCGACGGTTTCGAAAGATTCGGAATAATGTCGAACTTCTGGATATTTCACAGGTTTCAACACTTCGTAAACTTTTTCACCAACCAAACACTAAAATATTACTTGGAAAAATCTGTTAGAAAAAGTGGCAAATCTAACTTTCTGCCTTATTTTTCACTTAATATTTGAAATAACAAAAAACATTAGCAGTTGCAAATATCTGACACTGGATGCACAATACTCTTGAGCAGTTGAAGTATCGAAAATTATAAAAATGTAGTTTCAGGTTTTTTCTTTAATTTATTTTGATTTAAAAAGAAAGAACATAAAGAAATATTTTAATCAGTTACAATCATCAAGTAGATGCTTTGAAGGTAAAAAATGGGAGATTGAAACGATTAGTAAACTTACCCAGCATCAAGGAGATTTACCTTCCGTGCAAGCATCACTATTACAATTGAAGTCTGTCAAACTAGAAGAGAAATTAAACCCTCGAGAGATACAGTCCATAAAGTTTATGGCAGAAAATGAAGAAATAAATAAATAAATTTAAAAAGTAAATTGAACAAACGGAAAGTTAAGCAATAATAATACCGCAGATAGCGAAGTATGAATAGTCGAATTCTGCATCGGATAAAAATCTGAGACAAGTTCCGAAGGAAGAACTGTGGTAACACTCCTAAACAACTGATATCAAAGAATATAAAAAGATCAATTCCATTGCAATAATCCAATATTTGGAAGCATATCAATTCATCTACAGAGAAAAGTATCACTTACAACGATTTCTGCGAAGAAGAATCATTGCTAAATAAACTAAATTGAGAGCTTCCTTGGGATGATCTCATTTCAGTATGGCCCTGCTGAAATAAAGATTGAATGATCTTTCATGTAAGCTATCAAATTTATTCAAAGTTGCTTTGCGTACCTATAAATTAGTCATATCTGAATGAATATGTTTATCTGGATGTTACAATGAATGTCTTATATTAACTACACCAGTATCTGATTAATTAATTAGTTATTCTATTTATAAAAAAGCAAACATTCACCGATAACGGTTGGCTGAAATCCGATGAAGTATTCATATTTGAAGGTGGTAAAACTTTAACAAAGAATGAAATAAATTCCACAAATGACGCATGATCTGATACTGTAGCAAATTTTACACGAAATCTAGTCAGTGTTGTGCCATTCTGAAAAAAAAAGAATTTGTCAATGGAAATTAAAATATAATATTTGCGGAATTATCCCACAAAAATAATCGATGCAACCGATCACTAACTTTAGAGATCACTGCTACGACTCGCAATATGCTCTTTACATACAGTGACTATATATCAAGTTATATACCGATAATACTGCCTTTTTCTGAGCTCATTATATATTCATACAATCATTACTGAGATTTCATTCAAGTACAGTTGAAAAAGTACCGCTGAAGAAACTTGAATAAAAATATCCTTTTCTTTGCTTCTCATGGTTGGTCGAGGATTCAGTGCCAATGAAAATTCCTCAAGTGTTGATGAATTGAACATAACACTAAGATAACATCGATTTTTATTGTAAATAATAACCATTGCTTGTCCGGGTGTTACTGGAATCTCCTGTAAATATTGAAACTATCGTCTCAGTAAAAGATTCCGACATAAATTACTTCTATCATATGGTATTATGCGGATCAATGAGAGTGCAAGAGACGTTTTTCCTGTATGCATAAAAATAATATCTCACTTCTGTAAGCCTCTACTTGTGACGGACAATTTAGAAATGGAACTTTAGAAAATTAAAGTGAATTCCTAATTATAAGAAAATTATTAAAAAAAGATGCAATGATTGAGAAAACTTATTCCTAATAAGTCTATGTTTCTCGGCCTATGGAAAAAGAAAAAATGATTACCAAACGTGTTCCAACAAGTTTGGTATATTTGATCAATGGCCAGGAAACATTATTGGCATCATCACAAACGTTATATTTCGAAGCCATTTAATGCTAAATTTGATCTGAATTAAGATAAATTTAATTGCCCACATTTCTTTATTGATTTACACAGTACAGTTATGTGAAAATTAACTTTGACCTTACGTTTTATAATCGATAACATGAAAGTTAAAACTTTGTTCGTAAAAGCATGATTTGAAAAATGATGTGATAATTAAAATTTCATCTACAATTATGGCACAACATGCTGCACTGAAATTATCATATTATTTACGATCTTCGAAATAAAATATTACATGAATTATTTCATAGAAGTGATATAGACATAGATTAGAATCAACACGTAAAATAAACACTGATATTGAATTCACACAAAAAAATTAACTGTGAGATTAAAGTTCGATCTTAAAAGGCAATATGCTCGATTAATCATATCGTGTTAGATTAATCATATCGGAGGAAGTTTTTTTGATGAAAGTACATCGATACAACAAAACCATTACATGTAAACGATTAAAATATTGCATGATATAGAATATGTCCACGTTAACTAGGTAGATGCGTCATTTTTTGTTTCAAAAACTCGCTTCAGTAATTAAGTCTTCCAAAATTTAAATAACTCTTTTTTTATTAAGACTTCTTTTGTTTTGTTTTATTTAGTGTAGCCAAATAGAAGCTTTGCAATGTTGATCAAATTAACTTCTTTCCTAAAATATAACCGACAATTTTGGTAGATCTTTTTCCTAATTAATTAATTTTTCTCAATGGTTTCAAGTTTGAAAAGCAAATTTTTAGATGGATGAAAAGCAAAAATTTTACAATGCAAATAATTCTAATCAATTTTTTTTGACGAGGTTATAATCACTCGTGCGAGTTAGAATTTAAAATAATGTAACTAATGCTTTCTAATGAATTCTTACAATGGATGGTCTAAAAGATCACATAACTTATGCAACTCACGTCGGCAATTGTAATAACGCATTTCTTGCTTAACTAAAGCGCCAATTCGTTATCGTGTTGGTGTGTAAAACATAACGAAGAGTGAAAGCGTTATTACTTGCTGGTATTGTAACCCGATAGTGCTGATGCAAGCTTCAATGTCAACTCCAAACGTGACTCACGCGATGTTTTTACGTCCTATACGAGATATTTCAAAATCGTGAAATGTAATTCAAATGAAAAAAGAGACATGTCATCATAACATTCAGAAAAATGCAGTATTCAATTAGAAAAATTATAAACGTCAAAAGTAAGCCTTCTTACATAATTTGCTTTATTTACTACGTATGAACGAAATTACATTTTGTGAACTTTTTGTATTTTACTTTTTTTGGGTTGCAACAGGTGACGAAATACCCGAAGCGGGAACTTCAAAACGATATGTGGAGTAAAAAGTTTTTTTCCACATAGTAGTTAAGGGTGCGGTGAATCAGTAATGAGTCGGGTTTGGGTTGCTGATGGCAAATGAGGAATGGGTGTGATATGGGATTTGAGATAATAAAGGGTTAGGAATATTCGCAAATATTTGTGCTCTACAACGATGGACGGTGAAAAATGAATTAGGATTGAAAAGACAGAAAAAATAAATTTAGAGAAATGTAATTTTAGCAATAATTAGAAGATTTATTGATTAATTTAAAAAAATGCAAACATTGAATAATTAAGGAGCAGGAGAAATGCTTCTGTATTTTAGAAGTCCAAATTTAATTTTACTTTATTCGTGCTCTCTGCTGCATTTAATAATTTTGTTAATTAGAGATATAATACAATTTCAGAAATAATGTATTGTTAATAATTGATAAAGTTTATGGATAGTAATAATTTTTATTTTATAAAATTTATCGAAAGCGTTTTATGTAAATCAGATGTAAACAATGGTAAAAATGTTTAGTCTTTTTTATTGATGTTATTTTGTTCCCGGAATATTGGTTGTTTTCGTATTTGTTAATTGAATTGGATTTAATTGGATTGAATTTGAAGGAAGAATTTAAATAAAATGTTTTTTACAATTTTCTCCAAATTTCGATAAATCTATACTCTACTTTTGCGCCCAATCATACTAGTGAGGCACATATCAGTATGACTATGATTTGATTCGCTTGCTGATCAGTATTGTGGTTATATCTACTGTAACATTGTTAATTGATAAAATAGCTGTTTCGGTATTATTTTATCCAATTCATTCATTGCTTAATTAGTAATGAAATTACCCAGTTTTTGCTACCATTGTATTCTTTTTTCAGTATGACTGATCGTTTCGTAAGCGAAAGGGAATTGAATGAAGCGAAAAAAAAACGACAGGAAGAGTGGGAAAAAGTTAGAAAACCTACTGACCCAGAAGGTATGCCATACCTTTTACTCCATATAGTATTCTAGTGTTTTATTAGTAGCGGAACGTACACATTTTATCTCTGTTCTTCTATTTCATTAAGAGTAAAACAAACATGAGCTGGATATATACAGGGGTTTTTCTAATGTAAAATTGGAAATCACTTATTTTGTCAATTATACAAGTGGCATGAAGCGAACTATCTTCTTGGAATAAATAGTGTATGTGTGTTAGCAACCAAGATGGTTCGTATTCTGAATATCTGAAACCCAAAATCGCATTATTTGTGGGGAATGAACCAACAATCGCTGTTGTTGATGTAATTTTTATCTTAAATTATCCTCAGTTGGCAATTTTAGAAGTGCCAGAGGAAAAAGTTGACAATAGACCTTTATATGATCGTTTAAAAGAAATTCGTGATCGAAAGCAAGCAGAATACGACGAAGAACATAGATTTAGTAAGTTTCGTAATTGATTACTTAATATATTTGATACTGATGTAAATAGAAAAAGGAAAAATATTTTGAGTGGAAGTCGTGAATATGTTGGAGGAGATGGATTTTCAGAAAAATACTTCGCAGGAACCATTAGCACATTTTTTTCAGGAAACATGATTAGAGGACTTGACGCAGATGAATGTGATTTCCTTTCCGGAGTTGAAAATTTTAAAGCCAAGCAAGATTTGGAGAAAAATATGGTTAATTGCTTTGAATTTTCTCGTATTGAAAATCATTTAATGAATGATACCTTTCAACTTCTAAATAGATTTTCATGATTTTTTTCCATCTAGCAGAAGAGTTTTTTAGAAGAATAACTAGCAGAAGTTGTAAGCTTAAATTTATTTATTTATTCATAATAATTGGGTATTTGCAAATAAGTTGAATATTTTCAAATTGAATGATAGATGCAGGAATTAAGTAATTTATTCAAGTAATTTATTCAAGGGTTTTTAAATTCAGAATTAGTTTCTAGGAAGAAAAAGCGCTTTTGAGGGAAATTGATCGTATTCAAGCACGTAGAAACGTAGAAGATAATGCACCATCGGTATCGAATTTACTTGCAAAACCAACTGGCGGTACAGCACCAAAGGAAAATAAACAAGCAGCAATACTTCGTATGGCTGTTAAACGAAAAAGGTTTTTTTTTTCTACTTTAATTTTAAAAATTAGTTTTCTTAATTTTAGATCTCTGAAATCTGATGATTGGCATCTCTGACTTCAAAAATTCTTTTGAAAATAATGAAAGTAATCAAAATAATTTTTTGTTTCAGTTTTCCGGTTTTAGCAGATCTGGGGCTGATAGAATTATTTGTTCAGAATGTTCTTAACCGTTGTAAGAGAGCTGCTGATTCTTTATTCCTTCTTAAGAATTTGTGAATTTTGTCCTTCTTGACTTCATGAGTTCCTTCAGTGATACTGGAGTGGACAAATATGTGGAGAAGCGGCCGTTACTAAGTGCGATGTCAAATACTATTGCTTTTCCGTCTGCATGTAAAATAATTGATGTTCTTCCTGGAATAGCGAATTATTCATCTTCAAGGTATGCATACTTATTGCTTTGAGTAATATATTAAATTTATTAATCTCAATCTGTCGATGAACTATTTTCGTTCTATGGAATTCAAAAGAGTCCAAGTTATTTCACATCTCAGTATGTTACGATTTATATTTTGGCTTGCATCAAGTAGGAGATATAGTAAAAGAGTAAACACCAAAAAAATTGAACTATATAAGTTATTGAGTAATGGTTTCATCTAAGACCGAAAATTTGTTTATGCATTTCGTTTTGTTACTATTTGAAAGTTGAATTTATTTTGAAAATATTTTAATGACTATCGTCGAAAGTTGTGAACTTCACTTCAATAATTAGATGATTTTAGTCAAATCTGTGCATTTCAGTAATTCCAATTCGGATTCAAATTACGACAGTGATTCGGATAATTCTAGTGATTTACCTATTTTGCCAGTACTGATCTCTAATGATAGAGGAGATAAAAAGAAACAGTTAAGTGATTGCGATTGCGATTGCTGTAATTGATATGTTTGTATGGTTCTCTTTTTGTATGAATTATAGTGACTGAAATAAATAAGTCTTAATTTCTTGTGTTTAATTCTATTTCGGGGGGTTTATGTTTCATTGATTACAATGAATTATATGGGAGAGATTTAGTATATTTAATCATATGCAGATATGCTAGAAGGAAGAGAATAGATTCCTTTCGTAATAATAATATCCGTAGCAGGGACTGTGTTGTATTTTATCAAGCAATTTTACAACCGGCCAGAAGTAATAGATGTTGCTATTTAAATTGTTGTTAGATCGTTCATGAGTAGCCAAATTAATATTCGCTGAGTATCTTTGACAAATTTCTTTTTTTCAGAAGTTAAGAGATTAAGAGTTGCCGACGAAGTCATGAATGGAATCAGTGGAAGTTGGCACTCCCTTACGGCGTTCATTGATTTTTGAACGACTAAATCGAGAGCGAATGTTTTGAAGTGATGGATCTAGTATAATTTTTTTCTCTTGAAGAGTCAGATTTTCTACGAGGTCTTCTTTTACAAAATTTTGTATTTTTCGATTATATCCAAAGCCTACCTATCGTTTTTTGGTATATTAAGAGGCGATCATGTGATAGTTGCTGAATATGAGTACATATTTATATAACGATAAATTATCGATGTATTTGTGTATGCTGTGCAATCGTACAGACAATGCG